GGTGTCCTGTGATTGCAACGGCTGCTGGATTCAGTCCTTCAGTAACACGCTCAGCGGCACAGTCAGGCTGGCAGAGTTCCCTTGGTAGAGTTTGGATCAATCTTGAAGGCTGGCCCTGTGTCCCATGCCTGTCCCCGAAGTGTCCTACCGTGCTGTATCATCTCCTGTTGCCGAGTGACTCACACTCGCCAGAAATGCTCTCGCCTCATGCTGTTGCTTATTTTTCATAAGAGTCCCATGCTTTGAAGGGAGGGAATCGAAAGAAGCATAAAACATCTCAGCTTGGCTCTTCTCCAACCTGAGCAGACGCGGCAATGGAATGAAATGATTATTGGGCCACAGGCCAGATCTGTGGTCTCCAGTGATCCAGGAAACCGGGCCATTCACCTAAATCGAAGACTCGCTGACTCTTTCAGACCTGGGATGTCCCATAGCCTTTACCAAAGAGGCAGCTGCTTCCTGTTACACCCAGTGCCAAGATATGATGGTTCATATTGTCTGGAGTCCCCTAGAGGAGACAAGCCTCTTGGCATGCGTGAGAGATTTTCTATATTACACTAACTGAGGTGGGAGGAACCGACCCCCTCTGTGGGTTGGGCTGAATAAAAAGGAGAAAATGAGCTGCATTCATCACCCCCTGCTTCCTGACTGCTGGTGCCATGTGACCAGCCTTTCCAAGCTCCTGCTTCCATGTCCTTCCTGCTATGTGAGACCTGTGTGTTTCCTTAAGTTGCTTTTGTGAGCATATTTTATCACAGCAACAAGAAAAGTAGCTAAGGCATACCTGATTCACAAAGCCAATGGGTGTACAGGTGTATCCAGCTCCTGAATCAACACCCTGCATGCTGAGTCAAGGGCCATGACCAGAAACCAAGGAATGGATTCTTTAATCAACCTTTGTGTATCTTTTATCATCTGAAAACTCTGAGCCTACCGCTCTGGACTCGTATCAGAGTGGTTTTAAAGCTAGGTCAGGAAAGCCAATAGAAGATACATGTTGTAGGTCAGTGATGGACTGGCTAGCCTTGGGATGTCATAGGTCAGTGATGGACTGGCTAGCCTTGGGATGTCATAGGTCAGTGATGGACTGGCTAGCCTTGGGATGTCATAGGTCAATCACATGCTGGCTAGCCTTGGGCTGAGTGCCATGTTCCAGTACAATCTGAGGTAACCAGCTAGGATGGACCATGTGATATAAAACATAACAGCAGGAGCATTAAAAGCAAAGCTGTGGGGAGTTAAGGCTTGAAGGATTTCCAGTTTACTGAAAAGGAAACTGGGGACCCAATATGAGTGAAGTAAGAAATGTTGTGAGCTGGTGGTGGTGGCACACACCTTAATCCCAGCACTCAGGAGGCAGAAGCAGGCAGGTCTCTGCGAGTTCAAGACCAGCCTGGTCTACAGAGGGAGTCCCAAGACAGCCAGGGCTACATAGACAAACCATGTCTGGGAAGAGAGAGAGAGAGAGAGAGAGAGAGAGAGAGAGAGAGAGAGAGAGACAGAGACAGAGACAGAGACAGAGAGACAGAGAGAGAGAGAGAGAGAGAGAGAGAGAGAGAGAGAGGGAGACAGAGAGAGAGAGAGACAGAGAGGGAGAGAGAGAGACAGAGAGAGAGAGACAGAGAGAGAGAGACAGAGAGAGAGAGACAGAGAGAGAGAGAGAGAGAGAGAGAGAACAAAGACATTAAAACGGCACAAACACTCAGTGCAGCCAGAACTTTTAGTGGAAATCTTTGTGTCTCCTTTAGCTTGAGCCATCTTAAATGGTCTTTGAGTTTTGCCGCCAGTAGACTTTTGCGCATAGAGCAATGCTGAGAAGCAGAGTTTGGTCCACTGTAACAAAGTCCTGTAAATGAGGCGATTGGCTCATAAACAGGATGTTATTTCCCACAGTTCCAGAGGCATCTGCAGTCAGGAAGTAGGGTGTGAAGAATGCTGGTACTTAGCTCATTTCTCAGGTTTATTCAGTCTAAGACCCGAGTCCACAAAAGGGAGCCGAGCCACCCACAGTTAGGGTGGTTCTGTCCACCCGAGTTAATCTAGAAACTCCCTCACAGGCATACTCAGAGGCTTTGTCTCCTTGGTGACTTAGAGCCTGCCAAGGTGACAGTCACTATTAACCACCACAGGTTGAATATTGGCTTTGGGTGTGTTAGGGAGCCACCTCTTTCATAAGATCTGTCACATGATGAGGACCTACTTTCTAGTCGGAAGATGGCAGCACCATCTGTGTCTTCTCATAGTTGAGGGGTGAGTAAGTTCCCTTGAGAATATTTTGTAGGGACATTAAAGTCATTGATTAGGGCAGAGGCCCTATGGTTTAATCACATTCACAAAGATGCTATCTCCTCACACTGCCACCTTGGGGCACAAATTCAGACCATTGTGCAGAAATAGACAGACTATAAAATTTTTATTTCACCTTGCTTTTCTTATAAAATTTCTAAAAACTGGGCACGTAAGAGGTTGCTCAGTGGTTAAGAGTGATGCCTGGTCTTGTAGTGGACCACTGCTCCATTGACAGCATCTAAATCATGTAGCTCACAACCCCTGGAATTCCAGTTTCAAAGGATCGGACACCATGCTCTGGCCTCTAAGGGTACCTGTATACACACACACACACACACACACACACACACACACACACACACACACACACGCATGCAAACAAGCACACACACACACACACACACACACAATCTTCAAAGAAATTCCTCAGAATGTTTTAACACAGTATTTATCCCTGATATCTGCTTTAATGATGACTTGGTATGCAATAGGGATGTTTAGCCCATGTTCTGTCATGAGCTTCTTTACGGGTTTATTTTATGTTTTTTTTAATTGTTTGATTGATTGATTTTTTGAGACAGGGTTTCTCTATGTGTAGTTGTCCTGGAACTTGTTCTATAGACCAGGTTGGCCTTGAACTCACAGAGATCCGTCTGCCTCTGCCTCCCAAGCTCTGGGATCAAAGATGTGCGCCACCACCACCTGGCCTATGTTTTTATTGTATTGGTGTCTGTGAGCGGCCTGAAATGTGTGCTGAGAACAGAACACTGTTTCTCTGCTAATGTAACAAGCACTCTTGACCACTGAGCTGTCTCCCAGCCCCATCCGTGAGTTGCTTACACCAAGGTTCATGCCTTCCAAAATCATTTTATCTTATTACAGATTATTGAAAAGAGGTTTTTTTTTTTGGTTTATTTGTTTTTGTTGGGTTGGGTTTTGTTTTTGTTTTTTAGGATATGATACATTGATGTAAGCTTTCCAGCAAACTTTGGTAACAAATAGCAAAAGCCCTCTTCAATCAAGTAATTGTACCTGTTAAAATTTAACCCTGATACAATCTTACCTTTATACAAAGAATTATGCAGACAGATCTTATCTTCATTTATAATGACATTTATAATTTATAGTAATGAAAAACATTTATAATAATGAAAAACAATGCAAATCCCTTACCACAAAATTGGTTAAATTAGCAAAGTGAGATCTATGCATTATAATATGGACCATTAAATTTATACTCAAAAGCATTAATAATTTTAACTTAAGTGATGAATTCATGAGTGTTTGCTATGATATTATCTATATCTTGGGATATGGTTGACATTTTCCACAATGAAGCATGTTGCCCCTTTTTTTTTAAAGATTTGTTTATTATGTATACAGTGTTCTGCTGCATGTATGCCTGCAGGCCAGAGGAGAGCACCAGATCTCTTTACAGATGGTTGTGAGCCACCATGTGATTGCTGGGAATTGAACTCAGGACCTCTGGAGCCCCAGTCTGTGAGTCCACACACAGTAGGGAAACCTTACCCTGCTCTGTAGGGTATACATGAAGATTAAGGAAGGAAATTCTGAGAAGGCTTTGACATGTCACCCAAGGAGAGTAAGGGCTCTATAGGAGTTACTTTAGTAAGGTCAGAGTCTGACTTCTGCTGGGGTCATGGAGGTATATATGACATTTTATTAGCCTTCCAGGATTAAGGAGTACATGTCAGTCCCAAATGTACATACAATGATAGTAGCTTTAAAATACAGGAAGTAAGAACTGATGGATGTACAAGCAGAAATAGACATAGCTACAATTAAAGTTAAAAATTTTAATATTTTTCATGATTTATAAAGAGACAAACAATAAAGAACATAGATTTGAAAGACATTATCTACTAACATGACCTAATGGGCATCCAGAACACGTACTATTTCCAAGAATCCATAGAATGCTTGCCAAGAGAAATCATACAGCCATTTATAAAATGTTTCAATAAATTTAAAATGAATTGCTTTTCTGATGATGAGATTAAATTTCAAAAATGTGTCTTGAAATTCTCTAGGTATTTGAAAGTTAAGACACTTCTAAGTAACTCATAAGCCAGAAAAAGAAATTATGAGAAAAGCCAGAGACTATTTCTGAGTGAATGATAATGAAAATATAAAATAGAAGAATATGCAAGATTCAATCCTTAGAAATTTACATCTTTAAATGGTTTCCTTGGAAACAAAGCTGTTACAGCAAAATCTAGACACTTAAGAGCTAAGGGGAATTAAGCTCAAAGTAGCCATAGGTAGGAGATGATAGAGTCGAGGCAGAAGTCAGTAGTACAAAAATAAGCAAAAGTAGGAAAACCAGTTAAAGCAAAGACTGGTTTATTTTTAAAGTTCAATAAAATCAGCCTCTAGTTGGACTAAAGAAGAAAATTGGGGGAGATGTAAGTCACTGCCGTTAGGAAGGAAACAAAGGTCGTCACTCCAGATGAAAGTGCTTGTTACAGCACATTTGACAGCTTCCACACAGCTGAGAGAACAGAGACCAAGATGTAGGAGACAGGGAGTCTAACCTTCAGGGTGGGGCTCTGGAGCCGGGTGGCTGTGATCTGAATCTGTGCCCCTTATCTTACAAGCTGTGTGAATTTGAGCAAACCCTCTTTCTGCCCTTGTTTCTTTAGACTACCAGGGCGATAGGGTTTTATGATGTAAACGAATTGTTTTGTTAAGAACTGCGCCAGTGCTCATACACTAAAACTGGGGTGATCCCCAGAAGATTAACATGGCTCCTGAACAAGGATGACACACAGATTCATGGATCATTGTATATTGTTTTGTAAAAAACAAAAAAGAGATCTGTACCAGGTGCTACATGTTAGTTTTTTATTATGTCTTCTATCTTACATGCCTTTCCCCCCCTTGAATTGAGAATTGCAATGAATTCTGATGGCTCAAATGAAAACAAAGTTTTTCAGTATCTCCAGAGTTTTTCTGGGTCAGAGCTAGGCTATTAATGGATGTAGCTAAAAAGGCGACATACACACTTCAAAAGTCTATTGACAATATGCTTCAATTTGATCATGAAATGTGTCAACTTTAAAAAAGAACTGGCCCCATGAAGTCCATTCTTTTTTGCCATGACCACCCCTTAGCTGGGCCCACCTCAGCTCCTGACACAGTCAGTCAGCAACCTAGGAGCTAAGGGTTCTGCCTCAGGGCATGCTGGGAAAGTGGTTTGTGAGCCCCACAGTGCTGCCCGCACTGGTGCCTAAGGGCGTCCTTGACTGGCAGGCAGAGCAGAATGTAGCTCACCATCCTGGATTCTCATCCCAAGGGTGGAAAGGCTGAACATTTTTGACCATTCAGTCCTGGGACTGGGGTGTGGTTCCATAGGAGAGCACCCACCCCCTCCCTCCCGTTTATTCTTCTTCCAGCTGGGTTGACCTTAGAGTCTGAGCCGTGCCCTACCCTCCCTGAGCCCCTGCTGTGCAGCCAGCTTGCTGGTATGCTACCCCAGCACTCAGCCAACAGACTGGAAGCCAAGGACACCACCTGAAGGCCAGGGCCAGCTTCTTCTGAAGGCCAGCCCAGTGAAGCCAGAGCTTGCTGCTTTGTTAAGGCTCCGTTTCCCTACAAGCCCCTCCTCTCCCAGGCAGAGAAGTGAGCCAAGAGATGGTTCACCATGACAGGGCTGAACCAGAACATCTGCTTCCTCTTCGATGCCCTTCCGAAAGCCCAGCAGTGTTTGCTCTCCAAATGGAGTCCCAGCAATGGGGGCGGGGGAATACTTACAGTCATTTTTAGCCATTTCATGTTCCTTGAATTGTGTGTGTGTGTGTGTGTGTGTGTGTGTGTGTGTGTGTGTGTGTGTGTGTGCCTAAACCAAAATTCAATCCCAAGTGTTGTTCCTCGGGGCATGCCATTTTATTTTTTGAGACAGGGTCTCTCATTTGTGTGGAACTTGCCAAGGCTAGACTTGCTGGTCAGAGATCCCCAGGGATTGGCCTGTCCTGCCTACCCAGTACTGGGATTGTAAGTATGTACCACCATACCCTGCTTTTTCTTGTGGGTTCTGGGGATCAAACTCAAGTCTTGCACGGCAAGAGTCTTGCACACTACACGGCTCCCACCCTGGCCACCTTAAATTTCACCAATGAAAACACATTTCTAAGGTCAGTAATTTCATTAAAGCATCCTGGATCCCCATAAAGCCCACCCCTGATGCCCAGAGTGTCCATCTGAAGTCTTGGCTGACATATGATGGGGGAAAGTGTCTCTAGAGCAGGGCCACTGGGGGGGGGGAATGCTGGCTGTCCTGCCTTTGCCATGTACATGTCTGATGAACTGTCATGGATCCTACTCAACCATATAAATACATAGGCAATATGATATTATAAGTGCTGAATAAATGATGGCCACATATTTATTCCTCACCACTGTGCTCTGCCTTGGCAGCCCAGCCACTGTTACTGAAAATAACTGTTCAGGCCTGAGCACAGGGTGCTCTGTACAGCTAGGGGAATGGAGTCAGAACTTTTAGAAATAATGACAGTGGATTCTTCTGCTCGCTTTACTCAAATGGAATGATTGGCTCATTTAAAACTTCTGCAACTCTTGGGAAAACCGAAGAGATAGGTAGGAGGCAGAGGAGCCCCAGGGGGAGGAGGCCTCATTTTCTTTGCAGTTTATCAGTGCAGAAGCCTCTTGCCTGAAGGCAGATAAGCTAGCAGCATCTGACTGGGGTGTACCCTGCAGTCCCTCCATAACCTCCTGTCAGCCCCCTCCTCAGCCGAGCTACCTGGAATCCTCCTCTAAAATAAGAATCTATGAAGGGTCTGCAACCACCAGAGCCCAGATCCCCAGGGCTGGACTGCCTGGGGTTGTCTGGCAGATAGACCTGTGAAATCTGAGCTGGGCCTGCTCTGTGTCCCTGCTACTTTTCATGGTCTAGCCTCAGGCTGCTTGCTTCGGGGACAGGCCAATTCTGTCTTTAGCTAACAAACCAGGGGATTTTATTTAATTCACTCCGTGGTTGAGAGTAGCTTTAACTAGAATCTCTCCGCACGCAGCCCAGGCTGGCTTAGAACTTGTGATCCTCCTGCCTCCGCCCCTCGAGTGTAGGGATTACAGCTACCACAGCCAACTATGAACGTACAGGATTCGGAGCTGTTGTTGGGTTTGGCTGGCTCCTCTCCTGGGGTGTTATCCCTGTGCCTTCCTTGGCGCCTTTCCTCTCCCTTTCTGGGCAGGCAGTTTTCCTCCTTGTGGTATTTTGCTGTCAGTTTTCAATCCCTTGGAGTAGTGCGGTGACTGATTCTTCCGGTGTGGCTTGGTGCTGAGTCCCTTCTGCTTCCTGGTTCCGCAGATGTGACTTCGGGAATGCCTTGGTTTCCTGTCAGAAACGCCAGCCCTTCCCTGCCTCTGGTCAAAGGCAGTGCCCTTTGCTTTTGTAACCTTTTGGTCCTCTGGCTTTAGGTTCCACAGGGGACTGTATTGACCACAGTCAGGTCAGCGGCCCAGCCCTGGAGCTAGACGGTGCCTTAGTAATACGTTCCCGTTGTGGACGGAGTTGACAGGCGTTTTGGAGATGGTCATTTGGAGAAGCTTGCAAGCTTTCCCACTGTGTGTCCAAAGAGCCACGTCCCAGGAACCCACCTCCTCGTGCCAGCCTGCCTTTTAACGCTTTTCTCCTACCACCGCTGCTCTCTTTAGCTTCCACAGTGGTCACTCAACCCTGCCGTCTCCCAGGGCCTTTGCATCAGCTGCTGTCTGCAGACTGGCCGCCTTTCCTGCCCCGTTCACTGCCTATGTGGCTCCATCTCTGCCTTTATCTGTAGCATTCGTGTGTACTCCAAAAGCATTCTAGATCCTCCTCTAACCGACCTCATCTCTCTTTTAACCCCTGCACTGCCAGGGTGCCATTCTTACATTGTCTGCATTCTAAGACCCATCATTTTGGGAGTTACAAATTGTATCGAGACATAGATGCCCATTTTAAGTGAACCACTCAATGTTTTTTGGCATCACCTCAAAGTTGTAAAATCATCCCCACAGTCAATTCTAGAATATTCTCATTGCCCTACAAGGCAGCCTTGTATTGGTTAGCTCCCATCCACTGATATTTCGTTAACCGGACTCTATTCAAGAAAGCCATTAACAACATTTTAACATCTCTGAAGTTAAGATATATTTTCAAGTCAGTGGTATATAGAGTTTAGTTAGCAGCATTTTTTCTCTTGGTCATACTTAAAATAACGATTTACCTTCCAGTTGATCGTGTCAAAAGCTGGGACTGTACCAGTTAAACACTAACTCCCTGTACTTTCCTCCAGCCGGCCCCTTGAACCCTGTGAGCTTGCACACGGCCTGCCTGTGGAGTCCTCCACCCAGCCTTTCCTTCTTAAGATCTTAATCACAGCCTTGGGAGCTTATCAGAAGGCAAGCCTCACAGGGACCGGAGTCCCTTTGTTCTCCCCTGCCCTTATCTCTGCTTTCGTCTCTCGTGGAATCCTTTCCGCTGAGCTAATGATAGTTATCCAACAAGTATTTTTGTCAAGACTCACTCTCTGTCTCTTAAGAGTTCACAGTGTTGCTACAAAGACAAGGAGGTAAACAACAATTATTCCAGGTGACCCAGCAGCACTGCTCCTGAGTATATTTCCTCCAAAAAAAAAAAAAAAATGAAAGACGGGCACTCACATGTATAAGCCAGTTTATAATAAAATAGTTTATACTAGCCCAAAGTAGAAACAGCCCAAATGCTTGAAGAGGGGTGACTGGTCAAATTTTGTGTGCACATGCTCTAGAATATTATTTAACCTTCAAAAGGAGTGACTCTCTGACTCATGTTACAGTGTAGAAGAAACTTGGATTTTCAGACTGTCCTCCAGCCACCTGCTGCCATCCTCAGGAGTCTGGCCGGATCTTCTCACAGAAGATCCCACCAGCTTAGCTTGTTACCTGGGGAGACTCATGGCCTCTCCTGAGTACCCAGCCATCTCTCCCATCAACTGTACATAGTTCTAGCTCACAGCTGAGTGCTGTAAGCCATGCAGGCTGCTGAGGTTTGGGCAGGCAGTCTAGGGCTCAGCGATGGAGAGGCTGGAGAATCCATAGCTATTACTTGGCTGTCTAGGTGGTAGAGATAGAAACAGCGGGGTTTGAAAACACTTTAGGCTGGATACGATCTAACTCAGCGTCCCATGGGATGCGTGACATGGAGAAGCTACACCCAAAGAGGTCTCAGGTTTCTGATTTGGGGGTCTAGTTCCATCAGGTGATATGTGGGCCTGCGGAGGATGAATGTGCTTGCATGGAGACAAGATGAATTCAGCTTCGCATTTTCAGATCTGCTGAGTCGAAGGGGCTTACAATATAGCTAAGCAGTCAGCTACCCTAAAAACACAGTTTTAATTTTATGCAAAGACTCAGAAGGAGTCTCCAGGAAAACAGATTGAGGTTTTTTTTTAAAGGCTTGCTCTTCAGCTTTCTAAAGAGTGTATGGGACCTGATGTGCCGCTTGCATAATCGTGGTGGCTCCCTGTGCGCTGCCCACTTCCTGTTTATTTTCATCGAGGAACCCACGCTTGCTTGCTCCTCTCTGTTCTTATTTAGGGAATCGCTGATTGGGACCGGGAACCAGTCCCTTGGTCTTTCTGGTAGGAAGCCAGCCATCCTCTCCAGGGCTTGAAGGAAAGAAAGGGGCACTTCAGCTGCAGAAGAGAGGTTCTCAGCCTGTGGGCCTTGACCTTTTAGGGGTCAAATGACCCTTTCATAGGAGTCACCGAAGACCATGAAAACACAGATATTTATATTACGACCCACAACAGTAGCA